CGGGCCGCTATCAACGGGCGGTTCGCGACGGGCGGCTAGCGACGGGCAGCTAGGAACGGACGGCTAGCGATGGGTGGGTAGCGACAGGGGCTAGGACTAGGGCGGAAGCGCAGGTGGGCGTGGAGGACCTAACCTAGCGTGATACCATTTCCAATACAAGGTTCACCAACTTCCGCTGACTTTAACTCATGGTTCCACCAACTCCAGATCCTGGCCGCCCTAAACACGTGGTTCACTTCAACTGGCACAGAGCGAGAATTCTCGCTATTACTCGAACTCGTTCCTTCGTTTTTGCACAGTTTTTTATGAAATAGAAGAGGGGCGTACAAGGTACACACTTTCGAAAAGTAGGGGGGGGAATTGAATCAAATAATAGCTAAAGGCCCAAAGCATGACATATAGCCCATGTGACTATCCGAGGCATCTATCCTGTTGTTTGCGGTACCATAATCCCCCGGAGATAAGCGCTGCCGTTTGTTTAGCACCATGGCACTTATAGAATATAAGAGCGCTTATAAAAAAAATCGATTACAAGTGCCCCCCCTGTTGTCAAAAGGAACATCCTATAAGCGCCCCCTATATTACGTAGAAAACTCACTGAAACACATGCATTTTGTATCGAAGTCCTCTGCAGTATTCATTTCCGTTCTGAAAATGGACCTGCAGGGGACTTGCAAACTGGACTCGGCCTAGACCTTTACTCTGACAGCCAACCAAGGCCCTCGCAAGCCTTCCTACAGTAGAGGGTACAACCCCCTTCTTGTATACCTCTCTCTTCTAGTCCATCCCTCTACTCTTTCGACATTTTCTCATAGCACCTAAAACCTCACACCATTTCCATGGCTTCTATCCAATCCTAGCTTGTTGATCATACTATCAGTGCAGGTCCTTCTGCTCGGGCCTGCTCATTACGCTTCCGCAATGCTCGCTCCTCCCTCGTGTCCTTTCCACGCCACTGCGGCCATGTCGTGCTGTAGTGACGGCTTTGTCGTGCTGCTGTGGCGGCGTCGACGCGCCATCGCACGGACGGCAGCGGCCAGTGCCCGGTCTTAGCGCTGGCCAGCACGCCCGCATGCAGCCAGCGCGCCACACGGGGCGGCACGCTCCCTGGCTCCGCTGATGAACCCCCGCCCCCTTTCCCTGCGTCCCCTCTTCCTCGCCGCAGCTGACGGCCGACTCGCGCGGGCCTTCCCACTGTCGCGGAGTCAGGCCACGCCGCCGAGTGTTGCGAGCTTCGCCGCCGCCGCCGCATCTGGTGCTGCTGGCCTCGCCGCCGCATGCCGCCACTGTCATCGCTGCCGCCGTCGCTGCCATTGCAGCCGCTGCCCTTGCTGCGGACGTCGCCGCCTCGCACGCCGAGGGGTTGACCATGCTGTAGAAGCCGTTGCTACTACTGAGTATGGGGGTGCTAGGCTTAGGGGGTGTGTGGTTTAGTATGGTGTATGGGTGGTGTGTTTTCTTTGGACCTGCATTACTACTAAAACCAGTGGACAGGCTAGTAGTACTGCCCTGGTCTATTCTCTGCGTATCGCCTACCAAGCCTAGGGGCTGTGTCAACATATATATTACATACAGTGGCGGAAAAAATTGTCCGGATGTTTGGTTTTTATTTTTGCATTTTGATGAGTGCAGCGGCGTTAACATTAAGCCTTAATCTATGATGTACATACACGTTGAGAAGATCAGTTACAGCACTCATTCAAGTCGCCAAAAACCAGAGTAGTGTAGTACATGGTCCTTAAACACCTAAGCATATCGTAAGAGCACATCCGGACAATTTGTACCAAGGACAGGCAGCAAACTACAAACATGAAAAACTAGTACCTAGTCCAGCGTCCCTTAGCGCGAATCACTGCTGTGATCCTCCTTGGCATACTATCGATGAGGTTTGAATACACCTCCGCCGGTATCTTGTCCCATTCCTCCTGCACACCCTCTCCCACAGCTCCAGCATTCCACTAGGTGGTTTTTCGTACTTCGCCAGCTGCCTTTTCAAGTGTGCCCATAGGTACTCTATCGGGTTAAGGTCCGGGGAGGACGAGGGCCATTCCAGCACCGCATACTCCTGCTCCCCGAGCCAGTCTTGCACCAGACGGGACTTGTGCTTAGGATCATTGTCGTGCTGGAAAATGGCCTCAGAGGGGGGAAGCTTGAAAAGGTCGATGGTTTGTGAGAGCTCATCTTGCAAGATGCTGCGATACAGCGACCCATCCATCCTTCCACCTATCTTGTACATGAACCCCGCCTCCTCATACGTCATGCAACCCCACACCATCACAGATCTGCCCCCATGCTTAACTGTCTGTTGGACTTGATGGCTCTGGAGGTTGGTGCCCTCGCGAATCCAGGTGTACGCCCATCCGCCGGAGCAGAAACAGTTTATCTTAGTCCCATCAGACCAAATCACGCGCTTCCAGTCCTCCATCGTCCACTCGGCATGCGACCTCACGAAATTGAGCCTGGGTTTCTTGGGCTGCTGCACAGCGATCAAGCCTACGGATCGTAACGAGTTCCTGACGGTATTCGAGTCTACAGCCAGAGCGTGCTTCTCCTCTAACAACTTTGCGGCGACTACACTGCTTTTCACCTCCCCGCTGGTAATCGCTCGAATTATTCCGCGCTGGAGGCGGGTTGTGATTAAGCGTGGGCGGCCGGCCGTGGGCATCGTGGGTCGCACCTCATTGCGACTAGTCTTAGCAATCAACTTCAGACCATAATCATGCACGGTGCTCTTGCCTATGCCAAGAACTTTAGCTATTTTCCTAGTCGAATGCCCATTGCGCAACATGCTTCTAATACGAGTGCACTTTTTGTCATCTACCGGCTTCATCGTGATGCGGTCGTAGGTTCGCTTCATGACTAACTCCTAGACTAGCAACTGTTGCGCGAGACGATGTGTACCCTAAGTGACGAGCGAAAATAGATCTAGTATGTCGCTCGGTATGAACTGTCCGGATTGACTGTCGAGGAGTAAATCTCAACCCCGCTTTTTGATTGTGTCACAATCGCGCCAAACAGGATACGGTTGAAACAAAACTCGATAACCTTGTAACAGGTTCGGAAAAAATGGTGTTACTACATTCAAAACAAGTATGGCATAGCGATAAGTTTCAAAGTGCTAAACATCCGGGCAATTTTTTCCGTCACTGTAAATATATATATATATATATATATATATGTGTGTGTGTGTGTGTGTGTAAAGGCTAGGTAGGTGTACTGCATATCGTGGATCCTACTGTAGAGGGTACAACCCCCTTCGTGTATCCCTCTCTTCTAGTCCATCCCTCTTCTCTCTCCACATTTTCTCCTATCACCTAAAACCTCACGCCATTTCCATGGCTTCTATCCTATCCTAGCTTGTTCATCAGTGCTGCCCTGGTTTGTTAAAACCCGACGGCAAAATAGCGGAGGGTTTATCAAGTTGGGACCCCACTTGATCAGCACCCCCTGTGTGTCGAAGTGCGTTTTTTTATTCGGAGCTGGGAAGCAGTCCGCACTGTTCGATACTCCGAACAAACCCAAATGGCATATTTGACGCGATACTGTACCGTGTGAATTTCGTTTCGCGTTGCGCGTTGTGGGCTGCACGACGTGGCACGCGATTTTGCCACGTCAAAACGGGCCCCACTTGGTCATCAAGTGGGGCCCCACTTGATTTTCGCCAGGGAACACACGAAAAACAGGAATAGCAGAGGGGGGGTCCCTCTTGAAACCCCCTACAGAAAAAGCCGAGGCCCACGTGGCCTGCGACAAATGTCGAAGGGGGGCTGCACGACGCGCCACGCTGTCAATATTTTTTCGCGTCGAGCCTGCATTGGCTATTACTCTCGGCAACCAATAGGATTTGTGAAATCCTCTTTTGTTTCCCGACAGTTACAAATTTCGGGGCACTGGGACATTTCGTTTTTTTCGCCAAGTTTCGGGACTTAGTTTTTTTTGCACCCACTCAACTATCAAGAGGGACCCCCCTCTGCTATTTTGCCGTCGGGTTTTAAACTCTGCCGCTACGTAGGCTAGGGGGTGCGTCAACAAATATACGGTATTGTTCTGTCTGCACGTATATAGTTAGTTTAGATATATTTGTTATTGTTAAATTATATTATATATATAGTTGTAGGCTTCGTAGGTCTTGCTGGATCCTACTATAGAGGGTACAACTCCCTCCTTGTATCCCTCTCTCTTCTAATCTCCCTCTCTTTTCTCTCGTCAACTTTCTCCTAGCTAAACCCTTGTGCCATTCCACGGCTTCCTAGCTACCTAGTCTCGTGACATGGTTTCAGAGCCGGAGGTCCGCCCTGCTAGGCCGCCTCCTCACGCTTCCGCCGCGTACCCCCCCCCCACCCCCCCCCCCCCCCTTCTCGTTACTTCCGTGCCGCCGTGGTGGCCGTGTTGTGCTGCCATGGCGGCTTTGTCGCGCTGCCGTGACAGCCTCGACGTGGCGGTTTCGTCATGCCGCCGTACCGCCGTCGTCGCGTTAGCGCACGGGCGGCAGTGGGTCGCGCACTGGTTTAGGCACTAGGCAGCAAGCCCGCACTCCACCTCGCCGTGCCTCCCCAGCTCGTCATGTCGGACCCTGCTCGCCGTGTCGGACCCAGCTCGCCGCGTCGGTCCCGGCGGACCCAGCTCGCCGCGTCGGTCCCAGCTCGCAGTGTCGGTCCCAGCTCGCCACGCCAGCTGGCTCCGCCCCGCCGCAACGCAAGAAGGCCTAGCGCCTTCCTTCCATGCAGTCACCTCTGCTGCAGGGTATGGGGGTGCTAGGCTTAGAGGTGTTGCACGTGGGGTGGGCTTGTGACTACCAAGCCTAGGGGGTGTGTTAAATTATATTATATACATAATTTTAGGCTTGGTCGGTCTTGCTGGATCCTACTGTAGAGGATACAACTCCCTCCTTGTATCCCTCTCTCTTCTTATCTCCCTCTCTTTTCTCTCGTCAACTTTCTCATAGCTAAACCCTCGTGCCATTCCATGGCTTCCTAACTACCTAGTCATCGCAACTCATTCAGTTATTCACAACTTTGTTACCATATCTCATTCCGCACCACTTAGCAAGTTTACCCATAACACTATCCACACGAATATTGAAGCTCAGCTGATCCTATTTCGGGTCTAAAAAATAATCCATTATCACATTCATTGGATCCCACATTCACTCTTTGCCCATCTATGTTACACCACACGTAAAGTACACACACAGTGCTTCCTTATGACCCCTATTTGCATCTCCAACGTGCACCAAATTAGATCTCATATCCAAAGGTGGTTGAAGGCATCTCCTGCGAGCTTGTCGTCTCCACCAGCATACGGATCATGATCAAGCACACTGAAAGGGTCATAATGCCCGCTTCTCTCTGCTTCATTCTCCTGCTGCTCAAAGGATTCCTCACCTGGTGCTGCTTCTTCTTCACCCTCAATTTCGTCTTCAGAATTATGACCAAATTTACCTTCAAGTGTTTTCCTCCTTGTCCACCAGTTACCCAACGACCAGCCTCCCTTGTTACCACCACCTCCGCCATTCCGTCCACCAATCGGAATCTTCGGCATCTCAAACCCACCACCGCCGTCGCCTGTCCTCTTACCCTTCTGCCCTGGGGTCTGCCTCGGTTGGTTTGTGCTTATCCTCTTCAGAAGCTTCTCCGATACAAGCCTGTTGCTCATCTCCTTATTGTAAGGAACCGATGCGTATACGTCGTGCCACCATTGCGCAGGCGTAACTCCGAACGACGACTGAAGAGTACTCGCCGCGGCTGATAACGCCCGCGATTGGCGCTGGATCCCGGCTCTCCTCCTGCTGCAAGTCATAAATTTCGGGTAAAGCTGGTACATCCTCGAGCTAAGATTCGACACGCCGAAATCTTCCGCCGTAAGGTTATCGAAATCGAAGAAACCCCAGGGGTAGTTAACCGTCGTCGTGGTGATGTTATTCGTCGGCCGCACGGAAGGCAGCGCGTCGCAGTTGATATAATACGGATCCCAGCGGTTGCGCGTCCCGTTGATCACGATCATCTCCACGTGGTTTAATCCCGGAACGCCGCTGCAGTTTGCCGTGGCGTTGGCGCTCGCGGAGAGCTGCTTCCCGCTGTTGTAGTGCAGGTGCTGCGAGCAGTAGCCGGTCCAGTTCTTGGCGGCCTCGACGGGCGGCGTGGGGTTGCACTTGATGCCGGGAGCCCACTCCGTGCGCGTGCACATGTCGGAGAGGAACGGCCAGTTCTGAAGGGGACGGAGGGACGGATTGAGAGGAGGGGATGAGAGCGCGGAAGGAAGAGATGAGTGGAGGTGAGAATGAGGGAGAGAGGGAGAAGGGGAGAGGGAGAGGGAAGCGGAGGGAGAAAGGAGAGAAGTGGGGTTGCGCTTGATGCCTGGAGCCTACTCTCAGGTAAAATCAGGGAACCAAGCAGTGAAGGAGAGACAGAGCAGACGGGGACAGTACCTACCTAGTAACGAATATACCGTAGAGGGAGTTTCAAAGCAGACCTAACGGTTCTGTCTGAACCTGGCGCCAGGCGGGCGCTCCGAATCGCGCGACGAAGGCGGTGTACCACTTGTGCCCGAGCCCGCGGCCGAACCAGGAAGGGAGAGGCGATCAAAGGGGGTGCAGGCGAGGGCGAAATGCAGGCAGACCCAAGGCAGAGAGAGAGGAACTCCACAGCATACAGACAGACAGTTTAGTCCGTACGGACCTTGCGCCAGACGGGGGTTTCAAAGCGAGAGACGAAGGTGGTGTATCACTTCTACCCGAGCCCACGGCCCGTCCAGGAAGGGAGAGGCGATCAAAGGGGATACAGGCGAGGGGGATGCAGCAGGAAATTCAGCGCGGAACAGAGAGTGCAGCAGAGAGGCAGAGTCATGTTGACGCAGGCGCAAGGCACAGCAGCGCAGCGGCATGCAGGCAGTGCTTTAGGGTGGCTGTACCTTGCGCCAGCCGGGCGTTTCGAAGCGCGAGACGAAGGTGGTGTACCACTTGTAGCCGAGCCCGCGCCCCGCCCAGGAGTTGCAGTTGTTGTCGCACCAGTTCTGACAGCTCATGATGCCCGACTGCCACTGCGGCTTCACTATAATCACACTGCTGATCTTGTTGCTGTGGCAGAGCGGGGCGGGAGGGAGGCGAGAACAGAGGAGACGGGATAGATTGAAGGCGCGAAGAGGGGAGGAAGAGGCAAGAGGTTTGGAAAGGGACAGGTGGTGGTGCAATGGAGGAACGAAGAGCAGAGAGAGGGTGTGTATCACTCACGCATGCCCCGTGTTGATCTTCACGCCGTCGTGGTTGCGGATGCACACAGCGCCGTCGATGGTGAGGCCGGACGTCACGAAGTCGAGGTAGTAGCAGTGCATGCCCGCGATGATGTAGTTGCACGTGTCCAGGTTGCCTGCAGGGGGGGAAGATGATGGGGGTGGGGGGTGGAATGGGGGGAGGTCAGCGTGTGTATTGTGGCGAAGTGAGAGGGGGACGTCGATGGTGAGGCCGGACGTTGCAAAGTCGAGGTAGTAGCAGTGCGTGGCCGCTATGCTGTAGTTGCACGTGTCCAGGTTGCCTGTAAGGAAATTGAGTGGAAAGGGCAGAGGCGGAGAGAGTGGGCGATGAGGAGAGAGGGGCAAGGAGAGGAGGGGAGAGAGACACACAGAGGAGGGGAAAACGGGAGGAGGGGGAAGAAAGGGGCAACAGATATTCCTAGGCAGGGCACACACCCACAACACAACTCACCGGGGCTGTACCGGTGGCCACTCACCGGGGTTGTACCAGTGAAGATCATAGTAGATCCCGGAGCCATCCCCATTGGGGATGGGGTAGATGGCGCTCTCGGCCGTGATGATGTTGTCCTGGATGGTGTTGAGCATGCAGTCCGCCACGTTCCCGTCGCCCTGCCCGCACTGCACGCCGCCGAACTGGAAGTCCGTGATGAGGTTGTTGGCGATGATGGTGCCGACGGTTCCAGCGTACATGAGCACGGGGGTCCAGGAGCCTGGTAGTTACCGGGGAAGGAGCAGGAGATGGAGAGGGGTGAAGAGGTGGTGATGAGGTTGGTTGGCGTTGATGGTGCCCGCGTACTGGAGGACTGGCTCCAGGAGCCTGGGGAGGGGAGAAGCTGCGTAAAGCTGCGTGATAGAAGCCTTCTTCTCTGGGGCCGCAAGACTGACAGCAACCCAAGAACCCTCCCCTGCCCCTGCCCCTTCCCCTTCCCCAGCGCACCTCGAATCTCGCAGTTGGTGACTTTGTTGAGCGAGCGGATGAGGTTGATGGGGTCGCCGCACGCGGCGAAGCGGATGGTGCTCCAGCTGTGGTACACCAGGTCCTTGTCGTAGTAGTCGTTCCACAGCTTCATGTAGCTGAACTCCGTCGTTCCTGAACGATACACGTCCGTGCGCCCGTGAATGCGGCCCTGGTAAGAGAGAAAGGAAGCCACGGGGAGCAAATGGAGGAAGGGGGGAGGAGAGGGGAAGGAGGGGGGGAGTTGGGGAACAGGGCAGCAGGGGAGCAGGGGAGCAGGGGAGCAGGGATAGGGGGGAGATGAGGAGAAGGCTTGGCATCTGGTGAGAACACGAGGCCCTTGTAGTAGTAGTCGTTCCACAGCGTCATGTCGCTAAACTCCGTTGTTCAGACCGATACACGTCCGTGCGCCAGAGAATGCGACCCTGGGAAGGGAAGAAGAAGGTCAAGGGGAACTAGGGAGAGGAGGAGGAGAGAAGGGGGAGACGACCATGGGTGAAGAGAGGGTAAGAGGAGAGGAGGTGAAGCGAGGAAGAGAGGGGCCGATGGGGGAAGGCAGGCAAAACCAGGTGGATCCAGGCGAAAGCGACGTACATTAGCGAAGGTAACGGCCCACGCGCGGTAGATATGCAGCACGGGGCACGTCCACCTGCTGGGGAACTCAGGCAGCCCGCCGCACGCAACCATCCCCGCGGACGTGTACTGGAACGGAAACCCAATCCCGATCCCGAGAAGCTGCATGTTGGTGGCGGCTAAAACGCGTACAGCCGGCGCGTCGATCCGAGGGTACCAGAGCCAGGGCATGTAGGCGAGGGAGGGATGCGGGCGGATTATGGAGCAGGAGAACCCGGCGGAGAGGATTAAGGAGGAGTTTAAGGTGATGTTGCTGGCGAGGTATAGCACGACGGTGGTGGTGTTGGAGTAGGTCGTGCGGAGATTAAAGTCGGCTTGGGTGGTGATGGTGATAGTCTGGAAGGCTGTGGAGCAGGGCCCGCGAGTTGGGGGGCGAATCGCGCCGTCTGCGGAGAAAGGCCGTGGGGGGTGGAGGGGAGAGGAAGGAGGGGGGAGGGGAAGGAAGGAAGGGGGAAGAGGGCGGGAGGTCGGAAGAAATGAGATTGATGAAAGAGGAAGGGAGTGGGAAGGGGAGTGAATGGACAAGGAGTAGGGACTTTTGAGTCGACTCACAAATCACAGGAGCAAGGACCTGAAAAGGGCTGCAAAAAAGCGCTGAAGCACAACCACTGGCGGTGGGCGGCCCCAGTCGACTCCAGCCAACCCCAGTCTGACCCCCAGTTGACGACCAACAGGCAGTTGGCAAGCTCTCTTAAGCTCTCTTAAGCTCTCTCGACCTCTCTCGACCTCTCTCAGAGTAGAGGCTTACTGATGGGCAGGGGAGCTGCGGACGACACTGCAGTCAGAGATGCCAGGGTAGCGAAGACGAGCGCGACGGCAGCCATGGCGAGCGCGAGGGAAGTCGCCTGACGCGTGGACCGAGCGGTTTTTGCCACTGGATTGTCTGAAATGATTACCCTCCGAGGAGACCTCATGGCGCCGCTTTGATTCCGCTACTACTACTACTGCTGCTGCTGCTGCTGCTGCTGCTGCTGCTGCGGCTGCTGCTGGTGTTTCCCTCGTTTACTTGCACCGCCGTGCTTGGTGTAAACGGTGAGGCTGTACAGTCAGCTAGCTCCACTTCGAACCAGGAAGGTTTACTACTACTACTACTAGTAGTAAGCGATGTGATACACCTGAGAATGGGTCGGAGGGCGAGACATGGTACTACTTCTTAGCTGCTGGAACGAATTTGCCGCCGGTTTTCCGACTAGTAGTAGGTGGTTTCAACGCTTGGAAGAAGGGTATACCTGACTAGTGCACGCTTGGCTTCGTGCTATGCGTGCTGTCGTTACCATGGTGGTTCAATCGCACCTTGTTTGTAGAAAAACCGTAGTCCGCCGCGTCAGTTTCCAGTAGCGGTGTGGCAGTGAGTCGTTGTCCCTACTGTAGACTAGTTAGTCCAGGAGTAAAGGCTGTCCCTTCGCTGCTTGCTTGCTTGCCCGCCTGCACTCTGCTGTTTGCTTACCGTACCGCTGCTCTAGGTGCGTTCAGTACTGGCTGCGGTTGTGCGGCATGGCTGAATTCGTCTGTCCTCAGAAGCCCTGAAATTTTACCTGGACGATTTTCCAACCGCGTTTCGCGACATGAACTCGGGGAAAACAGGGGCTGGCTGGCAGAGGCTGGAACTTGGGCTGGGGGCGGAGTGAGGGAGGGACACCGCCGATTATGCAGGGGAGGTTGCTTGCTGCTTGTTGGTTTCCAGGTTCACTCTCGCTTGCCGACAGAATTCAGGAATCAAGACCGCAATGCGGGAAGAGGAAGGTGGGACCTTGGGTAGGGGTGTTGGTTGATGGTTGATGGTTGTGGTTGGAATGAATGGTGGAGGTTGGGCGAAGGGAGGGGTGAGGCGTGAGTTATGGTTTAGCGTGTTTTGGTAGGGTTGGGTGGAATGTGAAGAAGAGAAGCAAGCGGCAATTGATGACATTTTCTAGAAATGCGACTCGATTCTTCCGAGCCGCATATTTTCAATGCAGCCCCTTCCTCTCCCCACCTTTCGAATTCTCCAACCCTACATGCAGACGGTACATCCTGAATATATAAAAATATACTTACCCGTAGACTAACCAGCCCATATGAACTTTCGGGGTAGAAGCGTTTGATTCCTGTCGATTGAGTTTCGAGACCATTGTCAAAACATCAGTTGAGGAGGCAGTGTACACAAATGTGGCTGCACCAAGGTGGAAGTGTGGACTACCCACCAATCCCTTTGTAAATAAGGCAGTGTTTTCCGGAGTCACGAACACGAATCGAGCCAGCCCGAGGGTATTCAAACGACCTCCCCTTTGTCGAAGGAGTGGGATGTGCTGCTCAGGAGTCAGGAGGACCCAGGACATTGTCATCGTCATTGGAACCCCCCTTCGCCTGTGGTGGATTCTGCCAGCTGGATTCCTCGATCTCAACCGCAGAACACACTGGAGAAGGAATCTGAGGGGAGGTGTACTGAGTTACCGCGTCATCGAGGACGCATCTAGCCGAGGGAGCAAAACTAGGTGGAGGGAGGGACTGTGGGGGAGGCGGGACGGGACCAGGGCCTCTAAGTTCGGTTTGATTCATGCGGAGCTGTACAGCAAGCGGTGCAATGCCAGAGTGGCTGGCGGCTGGTGTGTAGAACAGAAACGAACTGGGTGGACGCCCAAATTGCAGTTGAGCAGCACGCTCACACCATATATCCTCATTACTAACATACAGGCCTAGTTCTCTAGGCACTTGACGTTGGCGTAGACATCGACATTCAGGAAACTCCACATGCGATTTCGCTAGCACTGGTGGAGCGATTTCATATTTCGGCAATTGATACCCACTGCCCAAGGGTATATGAGTATGATTAGGAGTTACTAATAGGGCAAACCAAATAAGTAGGTTTGGCGAGGTGCACCCACAGTCTCCAGTACGATGAATTTGTCCATCTAGTGTTTCTATGGTGGGTTGGATCGATTGTTTTTGTTTTTTTTCAAGGGCAAGGCAATTCTTGTTATGGTAAAATCGTACTTAAACATTTCTGTAAGTAAGTCTCGATAGATATCGTCGAGTTACACTGTATTTAGCATCTGTAGAATGACGTCAGCAAATAGCGCTCGTCTGGATGATTACGTCAGCAAGCCGTTTCAGTCACACGAACAGTCGCACTCTTTTCAGTAGCGGCTAGAGCGCATAGCGCAAATAGCTCGAACTGGTACATCATCGAATAGGTACTTCTAGCAGATATAAAAGTAGCTTGTACAACTTCAATTATCAACTTGTTCTTCAGTAAATTCTGGTCAACACTTTACAAGTTCTAAGACTTCTGTTGTCTTACTAGTCTACCATTCCAGCAAAGATCCTTGGTTAAGTCTTGAAGTATCGCAAGGCTGTAACACTGATTCTAGTATTACAACATGTTAATACTAACTGTTACTGGAGGTACTTCCAGTATTACTTTCTACTTCAAGTACTTATGTCTGGAAATTCTATACTTAGTCTCCTGCACCACCTTTCGAATTCTTTCATGGTATGAGAGCTGTCTGGAATCAAGACTTTTGTCAATTATGACTGGACCATCACCATCAACAACGTCTGCTTCTTCAACAACTGGACCCACGGGAGTTACAAATCCTACAGTCATTACTGGTCAAGCAGGTAACTCTGCAGCTGGAAACTTTCCACCTGCTTATTCTTCAATTGGGATGCCGCAACAGCAGCAAGGTTTGCCCACTGTGCATCCACCAAGGACTTCATCCTCTGCACCTGCAACACAACAGCAACAAGCAGCAGCATCAATATCAGCAGCTTTTAGTGGAATGAGTATTGACGGCTCAAGCTATGCAAGAGCTGCAGCCGCTCCAAGCTCCAGTTCTTCGTTTTCGCTTACACCTGCTCAAGATCAACAATTTCAATTTCTTCAACAACAATATCAAGCACGACAACAGTTTCAGCAACAACAGCAGCAACAACAACAGCAACCGCAACAGCAGTTTCCGCAGCAGTAGCAGACTTCTCTCACTGGTCCTGTCTTTCAAGCACCGAATCTTTTAAGCAATATACAGATCAAGACAACTGTACCTTTTAATGGCGTTGACTTCTACGCCTGGAGTTTTGAGTTCGAGCTTCTCACGAAATCCGCTGGATTGTGGCCGTTCTTCAGTGGCGATTACTCTTATCCTGTTACGGGAACACAGATGGAACAACAGAGTTTTCTTCATGCTTCACTCAGTGCTTACATCGTCCTTATCCGCAATCTGTCGCTGAAAGAGCAACTTGGTATACGCTCTCTTCACACCAGTTTGACTCCAACAGAATCTGCGTGGACGCATTTGAAGGGGCTGTATATAGCACAGGACACAATTTCCGTGAGTTAAATTCTCTCACAACTGACAACTGTACAGATGCAGGGCAACGAGAACGTTTCGGATTATGTCAACAGGGCTCGAACACTTCGTGACCAATTGGAAAAGTGCGGCGGATACTTTCCAAAGGACATGTTTGTAACAGTCCTTCTTGCCGGTCTTGGAGCAGAATGGCGGCAGTGTCGATCCCTTCTTCGTCTTCAACCAAATCTTTCGGAAGCAAAAATCTGCTCCATCCTTCAAGCAGAGCAGCAAGATCTTGATCAGTAGACAGCACGTAACAAGAAGGGAGCAACTAATATTAGTTTTTCTTCAACGCACACAAAACGCGTCAACAAGTACTTCTGCCACTACTGCAAAAGGGATGGACACCGTATAAAATTTTGCAACAAGCTTCAAACTGATAGGACAAGAGGGGGACATTAGCAGTCGCAGCAATTCAAGCAACCCGTGAAGCAGAATCCACCGACAACAACTCCTGCAACATCAGGCAAACAAGTCTTTTGCTGCGCTACAACAGTTCATGCAACAGAATCAGATTTCGACGATGACGACGACGAAAACTTCAACGAGCAACCTGAGAACATGGTTTTACCTCAAGTATATGCTAACCTTGCTCGGGTTATCGCAGGACCGAACACTTGGTATCTTGACAGTTGCTGTGGACAACACATGTGCTCTGCCGAGACGCTCTTCATTACTCATCAGCGTCCGCTTCGTCGTCTAGTATATGTCACAGTCGCAAATGGACAAACGATAATGGCAAAGTCGATTGGGAGCGTCGTGTTCGATTCCGTGGACACAGGATTTTCCTTACACAAGGAAACTGTAAGACAATGGACCAAGAACTTTATCATAATGATTCAAATACTTACATCGAGAGAGCCGCCACTCAATATGGGGTCTCCGTTCTTCAATTCGAGTCGCAAGGGACTACTGGATCTTCTGAGAGAGTGTTATCTCTTGGACCTTGGCAACATCCAGAAGAAATTGACTTCCACAACGTTGACAACGACTTCCGAGCAACTGCAGTTCCAACAGGTTCTCGTACAGCAGCAGTGGTTATCACGGCTCTTAATTTCTGGCCAACAAACACAGCCGAGGAAGACACATCAGCATGGAGGGATTAGTATGACACTTTACAACAACTTGACAATAAACCTACAGGACCTTGGGGACCCCGCAGCAACAGTGAAGAAGAGGAAGCAGAGCAGCAGAGTAGCGGTGAAGCAGACACATGGATTCTCGTCGGTCAACTTGCAGCAGATTCAAAAGAAACAGAAACCGAGGAAGGGGAATTAGTTCTTCAACCGGAAGAAGTACTCGAAGTGGAAGTTACAACGACAAAGTTACCTCTTAATCGCTTCGTTCCTGGCGAACTCGATGAATCACCAGCAATTTCTCCTTTCATCGTTTCTTCTTCTTATACTAACGCCAATTTTTATTTGCGATCAATAGGGCACAAAGCAACGGAAGATATTTGGCATCAAAGGTTAGGACATCCTTCACCGGGAATACTTAACCACACTATCCGAGCTTCCGTTCTTGAAAAAAACAGTTTACTCTTACCGGATGGAACCGAGATGAAGCCGTCGACATGACCACCTGCACAACTGCAAATCTTCCGGACGAACCATTTCCAAGTCACTTTCCGGGTTCAACTCAATACAAAATTATGCAGAAGGCTTACATCGACATCCTAAACTTACCGGAAGCAGGGCCTAAGGGAGGGGTATACATGATTTCGTTTATCGAAGCTTCTACTCGCTACGTTTGGAGCGTCAACATACCGGCTCGGCATATGGCTCACGCTATCTTCGTCGCGTGGCTCGCGGTGGCTGAAAGAGAATCGAAGGAAAAGTTGCAAGAGTTTCAAAGTGATGGCGCAGGGGAGTATACGAGCACAACTTTTACGGATTACCTGCAAATCCTCGGAATCAAGCGCAGGTTGTCCCTGTCACATCAACACCAATAGATGGGGGTAGCAGAAAGGATGAACAGGACTCTACAAGAGAAGATGCGAGTCCTGCAGACTCAGGCAGCATTGCCACCCCATTTTTGGACTAACGCTTTGTGTGAGAGTACGACCCCGTTCCATTCCTTTCTCCTTTCCATATTCCCTTTCCACTTCATTCCTCTTTTTATCCTGATTCATTTGGTCCTTATCTCATTCCATTTGGATTCCTCTTCCTCCTTTTCCATAAACCTTTGGTTTATCCTGTTATTATCATTATATCACCGACCAGGCTCGGGATGTACTAGCGCGCTATATCTAGCGTAATCCCTTAAAGCCAATAGCCTTGCGTGGCTATACTCAGAGTGATTCTATTTTCTAGAAGGGTCTATTCCCTTAGGATAGGATAAACATGGTTACCTGATGTACTTGTGAAGTATAAAAGCGCCTTGTACTGATCGATAGTGCAACCTTTCCTCGGCACATTCAATCTTGTGACAATTGGTAATAAGAGCTTTTCTCACTCGGCCGCGCTTAGTTAAGCAGCAGCAGCGGGAATCCTGCCTCAAAAAACCGCCGGGGGCGACCAATTAAACGCCGATTCTGGTAAGCACCAGCTCCGCGTTTTTTCGAATTACCCCCTCCGCGCGTATTTTGAACAGGATGGCGAACTTCGACAACGCCGAAGTTACCCAGCAGCTCTTCGCAAGCATCGCCGCCCTACAGGAGGAGATGCGAGCCGACCGCGAAGCTTGGCGACAAGAGTTTGAGCGAGTAATTCGACTCGCCGGCGCGCAACACGAGACGACAACGGCGAAGACGCGGCAGTCGCAGCAAGTTCTCGAGGCTCCGAAACCACGCCCACCTGAGCCGTTCAATCCGAGCGATCGAAATTCCGACGTCCGCAGATGGATCGCCGGCATGGAGATCTACTTCGCAGCCGTCGGATGGAGCTCGCCAGTCTGGGACGGACAACGCGTACGACTCGCGGTGACACTGATGCAAGGGCCGGCACTCGAGTGGATCGGCAGTAACAGCACCTTCATCCACGGCGAAGCCACGTGGCAGCAGTTCCGCACCGACCTGCTGAAACGTTTCGAGCCAATAAATTCGGGTTTCGTTGCCCGGGAAAAAAATCATCGCCATCGATAGTTCGGGAGTGTAGCGCAGTACACGCAGCAGATGGAAGAATTTATAACCGCATTCCCAACCTGACCGAAGGGGAAAAAGTACAGTCGTACCTCGCCGGGCTGAAGACCGAAGTCAAACGACAAGTAGCAGCGACAAACTACGCAAGCTACAGTGACGTCGTTTCGGCAGCGGAACGCTTCGACATGGTCAACGCTGGGACACGACGGACGCACGTCGGCAGTACGCGACAGGGCGACCGCTCGGCTCACCCCATGTTCGCCGACCCGATGGAAGTTGACAGGTTCGAAGGGCGGCCACGTCCGAAAAAAACCAACTTCACGTCTGATTTTTGCGGGGTGCCGGGTCATCGAATCTTCGACTGCAACAAAATGAAAGCCGCACGCGCTGAGTATCGGGTACGCAACAGTGGCGGAAATCCTTCGGCCAATCTGAAGCCAAAAAACGGGACTCGCCAGTAACTGCGGATCTAGCTGGCGAAAAAGAAAAGATCCGAAAGCAGTCGCGGACTTCCGGAAAAATCAACTTCGACGCATCGGATTCGACGCGAACAGGAGAAAATAATGGGGGAAATTCTCCACCCCACGACCAGTCTTCGCCAGAGGAAATCACCGAGGAAAAATCGAACTCCGCGAAAAAGGACTCTGCCAAGACGGGGAAGTTCTTGAAGACCCAAGAAATTATCAGGATTCGTCAAAGTTATCTTATAAAGATGCTTTAATGAAAAATTGTAATTCTCGAGAGGCTAGAGCCTGGGAGAAATTTCGGGAGGGACTCCAGAAGATGCAGAAAATTGTGGAGATCATACCAGTACCAAAGAACTTGGGGACCAAATTAAGGAGTGTGGAAAGAAGCCAACCTTTCCACGGAGTCAACGTCCTCTCTTGACACCAGCCCACAGCGACTACCCGTTCCCCAGGGAAGACGTCGGTGGAGCTGAAGCAGCTCAAGAGGAAGCTGGCGGTCTATAAGAAACTGCAAAAACCCCAAACTCCTTCTTCGGATGCATCCAACTCGGCAACTTCTTCAACATCACGCACAGTCGTCACGGAAATTCCGAGCCCTGGAGAAGAGCCTTTCTCCAAGCAGCCTTGGCCAGCTGCCAGCTTAGGAGTAGGAAGCAACGAATATTGGGATGTACCCTATGACCCAATCAATGAAACTATCTTTGGGTACTCCGAGCAACGCCTGCCCCTCGTGCTCGAGGTCATCTGCAAAGGACGACGCCTCCAAGCACTCGTGGACAGTGGAGCATCGCACACCGTATGCGACAAGGCAACCATCGACCAACTTCGAGATGAGTACAAGCCATCAGCGTTTTTTGCAACGATGGTGGACGGCAGCAAGTTACCAGTGTACGGCGAAGCAGTGCTACACCTACAATTCGGTCCACTGCACTGGAAACATGTTGTCCCAATCACCAACATAAAAGGGCTTGACCTGATCTTCGAGCGAGACTTCCTCAACAAATTCAACCTCGAGATCAACCGGGTAAACCGCACCGCAAGCATCTACAACAAAGGAAGGAGAGTCTAGCTACCCAACTGGGACGATACAGAAGATATCCTAGTGGAGACACTCGCCAGATTCGAGAAGGACGTGAAACTACCCAACACCGGGTTCCTGGCGTTAGCAACAGAGGTAGAAAGGGACGAGGAGAAGACCTCGGAACCTCCAAGAGAAATCAAGGAAATACTGAAGGAGTTCCAAGACATTCTCCTCGACGACCTCCCGGACGAGCTACCGCTATACCGAATGCACCAACATGAGATCGTGGAGGAACCAGGTTCGAAACCGACCTTCCGAGCACCATATCGGCTAAGCCCCACAGAACTAGCCGACATGAAGAAACAAATCGAGTATCTCCTTGCCAAAGGACTCATCCGACCATCCACTTCACCATACAGTGCCCCTGTACTCTTCATGCAGAAACCAAACGGAAGCCTGTGCATGTGCATCGACTATCGGGCTCTCAACAAGCAGACCATCCAGAACAAGTACCCGATTCCACGAATCGATGATCTGCTTGACCAGCTTCGGGGAGCCATGGTATTTTCAAAACTAGATCTGCGGTCCGGATACTGGCAGATAAGAATGGGGGACAATTCGGTACGGATCGTACGAGTATCTGGTAATGCCGTTCGGACTCACCAACGCACCTGCAACTTTTCGAGCAGAGATGAATCATATCCTATGCCCACTCTTGAACGAATGCGTGGTGGTGTACCTGGACGACATCCTCGTCTACTCACGCGACATGCACCAACACGTCGAGCACCTACGACGTGTCTTTGAAATTCTTCAACGAGAACGGTTCTACGTCAAACTATCCAAGAGCGACTTCGCCCTCGAGAAAGTCCAATTCCTTGGACATATCATAAGCGCTCAAGGAGTTCACGTCGACCCCAAGAAAATCGAAGCCGTACGTACGTGGAAGACACCCGAGAACGTGAAGGAGTTACAGCAATTCCTTGGCTTCGCAAACTACTACAACAGGTTCGTGCCGCAATACGCGAAGATCACCGCGCCACTCATGAATTTGCTAAAGAAGAGCACGCCCTGTAAATGGGAGCCACAACACCAGGAAGCCGTGGAGCAGCTGAAACAAGCACTCACGTCCGCACCCGTACTCATCTTGCCAGACCCCGAACGCGACTACGTCATCGAAGCTGACGCCAGCAACCAGGCAGTGGGAGCAGTCTTGATGCAAGACCAGGGGAATGGCGTGCAACCAATTGCCTACCTTAGCAAAAAAATATACAGGGCAGAACTCAACTACCCAATACACGACAAGGAGGCCCTTGCTATCATCATCGCCTTCAAAACGTGGAGATGTTATCTCGAAGGACGCAAGACGATAGTCTACACCAACTATTGCAGCCTACAATATTGAAGACATAACCAAGCCTCTCCAGGCGGCAGGTCCGGTGGATTGACTTCCTTGAGACACACTTCCACTACGACATCGTGTACAAGCCCGGCCACAAAAACAAAGCAGACGCTCTCAGCCAGCCTGCGCACGTTGCCGCAATCCAAGTCAAATGGATGAACCCACTCCTCAAGGGACTCTTCATACACGGGTACACCATCGACCCCGAAATTCCCTTGGCAGAAAAGCGACATCTGCTACAGTGGGACAACGACATCGCGTATCGGAAAGGATCAACAAAGATATGGGTACCTAATTACTACTTGAAGAATACCACGACGTCCTGTATGCAAGACACTTCGGTAACAACAAGACGCTCACCGGTATCGCCAAACACTACTACTGGCCCCACATGGCAGATGACGTACAGGAATTCGTCACCTCGTGCACTACATGTCAGCGGATGAAGAGCAGCAAGCAGAAAAAGGCGGGTCTGCTACAGCCTCTTCCTGTCCCAGAACAGCCATGGCAAGTGGTCAGCATAGACTTCATCACCGGGCTACCAACTACCACAAGCGATCATGACGCGATCCTCGTCGTCATTGACAAGTTCTCTAAAATGGGACACTTCATCCCAACACACACCATAGCATGCACCGAGGAGACGGCACAAATCTTTGTTTGCTACATCATCCCACAACATGGCATTCCGACCACACTCATCTCCGACCGAGACCCTAAGTTCACCAGTAAATTCTGGAAAGAACTGATGTCTCTACTCGGGACCAAACTCGCCATGTCATCCACCTACCATCTGCAGACAGATGGACAGACCGAGCGCCTCAACCAAATTGTGGAGCAACTCCTCCGAGCAGCCTGTAAGGACGACATCTCCAAATGGGACTTGCATCTGCCTGTCCTGGAGTTTGCCTACAACAATGCTACTCACGCCGCTACTGGACAGACGACGTTCTTCCTCTGTTACGGACGCCACCCGCTCACACCTCAACAGCCAAACATACCAGCCATAGTCCAACCCGCTCATGATTTCATCACGACCATGCACAAACTATGGGATCGGACCCACAAGCGCCTTCTCGACATTCAACAACAACAGAAGTGCCAAGCCGATCGCCACAGCACAGACCACACCATTACCATGGGAGACCGAGTACTGCTCGACACGCGCAATCTTGACATCGGCCGTCTCCCATCCAAACTGTGACCTTGCTTCTGTGGGCCTTTTCTCGTTGAAGCACAGGTCACTCCTGTTACCTTCCGCTTACGCCTGCCAGCTACCCGGAAGATTCACAATGCCTTCCATGTCCAACTCTTGAAGCCCTACCAAGATCCCAACACGGTCGTCTCAGGACGCCAACCGCCGCCGCCGCCACCCGTCCTCGTCCATGATGAACCCGAGTACGAGGTCGAGTCCGTACTTGCTCACCGCCGTCGACGGAATGGCACCGTAGAGTTTTGCATCCGTTGGAAGGGTTATGATCCTTCAGAGGATAGCTGGGTCTCTGAATCCGAGATGGATCACGCTCGACGTCCTCTCCGCGACTACCTTGTCAAGCAGGGTGTTACGTCTACCACCCAGCTTTGAGGGGGGAAGTGTGAGAGTACGACCCCGTTCCATTCCTTTCTCCTTTCCATCTTCCCTTTCCATTTCATTCCTCTTTTTATCCTGACTCATTTGGTCTTTATCTCATTCCATTTGGATTCTTATTCCTCCTTTTCCATCATCCTTTGGTTTATCATGTTATCATCATTATATTATGGCACGCTCTATCCAACGTTATCCTGCCGTAATCCCTTAAAGCCAATAGCCTCGCGTGGCTATACTCAGGGTGATTCTATTTTCTAGAAGGGTCTATTCCCTTGGGATAGGATAAACCTGGTTACCTGATGTACTTTGGAAGTATAAAAGCACCTTGTATCAATCGATAGTGCAACCTTTCCTGCACTGGGAAAAAGTTATGAACGCGCTAAGTGGGGAATACACTTTGGCATCGAGAAGCAGTTTTACGTGTGGAAAAGCATGGATCTTTGTAGAGTCAAATCGTAGCAGCACGTGATTGTCTTTTCTACGAACGCCTAACCTTACCTGTCTTTCGTGCTCACCAGGCAGCAGCTGCCAATTCTGCTAGGCTGTTCGAGGGCTCGCGTGCTTTTGCCACCGACGAAGCCGAAGAAGATGTACAGGATGAGTCCGTGGATGAATCCTCCGAGGCTGCCACAGACATCCCCGTGCCGACCACGTCAGCTAGAACTGCAGAATTTATCCCACTTAGCGAAGCCGACTCCGAGGATGTTCGCGATGTGGTTCTTGATTACGAACGCGATCGTCAGCAACAGCCCATGCCAGTTGTCTCAGAAGCAGTGATACGTGTCACACTTGAAGAAGTTGGGGGGGAACAAGGATCAGAACACAACTTCTCCTGTGTCAATTCAAATCGCCCGCGTTTTACAGAAACTGGTATACAAGTTTTGGGACTTGCAGTCGCAGTACAAAAAAACAGCAGTAATATTTTGGAGCCGAAAACAGTTCGTCAAGCTTTGACAAGTCAACACCGAGAGAAATGGCGCGAAGCCATGGACCGTGAGTTAGCAGCTCTGGAAAACAGAGGTACCTGGGATTTAATCCCGTTGACAGCAACAAAGGGGAGTAAAGTTCTTACCGGGAAATGGGTCTTCCGCGTTAAGACGAATGCCGATGGTTCATTCGAAAAGTTCAAAGCGCGATGGGTTGTCCGCGGCTTCGAGCAAACATTTGGAATTGACTTCGAACTGACCTTTGCTCCCGTCGGCTGACACACTAGTGTCTGAATTCTTCTCTGCATCGGGGCCTACCGGAATTTCAGACTTCGTCAAATCGACGTCGCCAACGCTTTTCTATATGCACCTGTCGACGCACTAATTCTGGTCAAATATCCGCATTCTTACGAAACTAATCCTCCCAACGTATGTCGTCTCAAAAAATCTTTCTACGGAATCAACAGGAACCATGACTCTGGCGGCAGTATCTACACCGTTAGCTGTTAAATGCCGGATTTCGACAACTTCCACACGACCAGGGAATGTACCTGCTTACCGACGGTACCCCCTATATTCTTCTCGTCGCCTACGTCGACGACCTACTTTACATTAGCACTATGGATTCTCTCGCTACTATCTTCGAACAGAAACTTCAACAAAACTTACAGATTACTATCGCCCCTACAGTCATACAGTTTCTCGGACTGAACATCTACCGAACTGAAACTGCTATTCATCTAACAGCTTCCAAGTATGCAGCTACGCTAGCCGCACGCTTTAATCTCATGGCTTCAACCGTCACTACTCCTTACCGATCTCTACCGACCAATCAACAACCGGATACTACTCTTCTCGATAGCGCAGAACTACAGGTTTATCAGCAGCAACTGGGTTGCCTACTACTGGCAGCTGTCACATGTCGTCCAGATCTCGCCTACGCCGCTATCCAGCTCGCGCCATTTCTGCGTCGACCTGAGGGGGAGAATCAGCTAGATCTTCTTCGCGCTCTGCAATATTTCATTTCGACACCTGAAGTCGGACTTACCTACCAAGCTACTACTACGAAAATCTTATATCTTAACGGGTACGTCGATGCTGATCATGCAGCAGATACTAATAATCGCCGATCCCGCGCCGGATTCATCTATCGTCTCGAGCCTATTGGGACTATCTTGTGGAATTCTACAAAGCAAGAGCTAGTAGCTCTTTCATCCGTCGAAGCCAAGTTTATAGCTGCCTGTATAGCTACTAGCGAAGGTCTCTATCTGCAAGAGCTACTGGAGGAAGCGAAATTGACGACAAGTACACAGTTCACACTGTAGTGCAACAATCAATGTGCAATCAGAATTGCGCATCAACTGGTTTCGCCAGCAGGACGAAACATATTTCGTTACGGTTCTTCTTCGTCAAAGATGAAGTCGAGATGGGGAGAATGCGATTGGTCTACTGTTCGACCAATAAAATGGCTGCAGATTTTCCGACTAAGAAGCTGACACGACAGAAGTTTCAATATTGCAACGAGCTCTGCGAGATTATCAAGAAGTGACACGATCGGACTTCCTGAAATGAAGGGGAGTGTTGTGGTAAGATTGTACTTAAGCATTTTTGTAAGTCTCGATAGATCTTGTCGAGTTACACTGTAGTTAGCATCCGTAGAATGACGTCAGCAAATAGCGCTCGTCTGGATGATTACGTCAGCAAGCCGTTTCAGTCACGCGAACAGTCGCGCTCTTTTCAGTAGCGGTTAGAGCGCATAGCGCAAATAGCTCGAACTGGTACATCATCGAATAGGTACTTCTATCAGATATAAAAGTAGCTTGTACAACTTCAATTATCAACTTATTCAGTAAATTCTGGTCAACACTTAACAAGTTCTAAGACTTCCGCTGTCTTTCTAGTCTACCATTCTAGCAAAGATCCTAGGTTAAGTCTTGAAGTATTTCAAGGCTGTAACACTGATTCTGGTGTTATAACTTGTTAATACTGGCTGTTACTGGAGGTACTTCCAGTATTACTTTCTACTTCAAGTACTTGTGTCAGCAGATTCTGTACTTAGTCTCCTGCACCACCTTTCGAATTCTTTCAATTCTGAGGGGGTGGGGTCACGCTGATGCGTTTTTGGGGTTGCGGAGCAACCTCATGCAATCGATCGGATGGAAATTTATTTTCAAAAGAATCAAGCATTTCTTAGTAAAAAACAGAAATAAATAGGGTTAAGAAAGTTTTACTACTCTGTACTCTTAAATATTCAAGTATGCTAGAATCTGATGTCTAGATGTGATCTCACGAATGCAGATCTACAATAGCGTAATATTTATCATTACACTATTTCCACAAATGAATGCGAGCAAAAGAAAATCGGCATGTATTTGTCTCCCACTGATTCATGTGGCATATTTTTCTTGATGACAAAAATAGGCTATCGCTTCCCCAGCTCTAGCTGGGGGGGGGGAAGCTTCTGTCAAACACATTTGTGTGTGATCTTGTAGACCATATAGGGTTGTGCCTTAGAGAGTACAGCCCCCTAGGTTATAATGTCTTGTACTATCACATTCTAGTCATTCTTTCAGTTTGATATGGTATCATGAGTAGGTTAGGTCCCCTTCGCCCACCAGCGCTTCCGCCGTAGGTCCTAGCCGTCTCGCCGGCTTCGTCCCCTAGCGGCCCCACGCTCCGTCCCCTAGCGACCCCGCGGCCCCGTCCCCTAGCGGCCCCTCGGCCCCGTCGACCAGCGGCCCCGCGGCCCCGTCCCCTAGCGGCCCCTTGGCCCCGTCGACCAGCGGCCCCGCGGCCCCGTCCCCTAGCGGCCCCGCGGTCCCGTCCCCTAGCGGGCCCTCGGCCCCATCGACCAGCGGCCCCGCGGCCCTGTCCCCTAGCGGCCCCACGGCCCCGTCCCCTAGCGGCCCCGTCGACCAGCGACCCCGCAGCCTCGTCCCCTAGCGGCCCCGCGGCCCCGTCCCCTAGCGGCCCCTCGGCCCCGTCGACCAGCGGCCCCGCAGCCCCGTCCCCTAGCGGCCCTGCGGCCCCATCCCCTAGCGGCCCCTCGGCCCCGTGGACCAGCAGCCCCGCGGCCCCGTCCCCTAGCGGCCCCGCGGCCCTGCCCCCTAGCGGCCCCTTGGCCCCGTCGACCCGCGGCCCCGTCCTCGTAGCCGGCCCCATCCCGCCGCCGGCCCGTTCTCGTAGCCAGCCCCATCCCGTCGCCGGCCCAGTCCCGAAGCCGACCCCATCGCGTAGCCGACCACGCCGAGCCGACTCCGCCAGGTAGCTGGCCCTGTCACCTAGCCGAACCCGTCGCCGCGTCGGCCCCGTCGCTCAGCCGGCCTCGCCTTCCAGCCGGCCCGCGCTGACCCCGCACCGCACTTCACCGCCCTTCACCGCACTGCACCGTACTGCACCACCTTGCACCGCATTGCACCGCACTGTACCGCACTGTACCGCACTATACCGCACTGTACCATACTGCACCGCACTGCACTGTACTGCCCCGCCCTTCTGCCGCCGCACCGACCCTGATGGCGGACTCGATGCTGCGCTTCGACGCAAAGGGCCAGCCGGTCGAGTTCGACACGTGGCTCGTCGACCTCTGCCGCCACCTCACTGGTCAGCGGCAAGACGGCCACTCCTTGGCCGTCCACCTCGACGGTATGCTCCCCTGCCCTGACCCCCCTGCTGCCCTGTCCGCTGACCCCTCGTCTGCTGACCGTGACTAC